CCATTAGACTAATATTTTGCAAACTGCAGTTTCAATCATTGTAATTTAGACGTGCTCTAACCAAATCAGCTTCAGAGCTGGTTTCAAACCTGTCTTGCAAACTACTTCCATAATGAACATACGGAATTCTTCCCAAGTCTAACTGGCTCTTCTGTGTGCTTGCACCAGGCTAAAGTTAAGAAAAAAGCCTTAGTAATGTCTATGAGAAGATTCTGAGGCTTCCCCTTGTAATAACAGAGCTTTAACCCAGTGAACTTCACGTTTCTGAGATGACACGAGTGACTTCTTTACCAGAATCAGTGAGGTTTTGTGTCACAGGTTTGCTCAGTGGTTACAGCACTATTGCACAGGCCTGTGATGTTGTTGGCTTTGGGAAATGGTTCTTTAGAAAATCACTCTTGCAAAGGGAACTGAAAGTCATGGACCATCCTCTTCTGCTTTTGACCACTGCTGATACTTGACTGATGAGGGGAGGATGATGTGCTGTGCCCCTTCTGTGTATTACTGCCCCAGTAATACACAGATGCTCACCACTGCCAGAAACATTCTCCCCTTTCCAGAAATGAAGACCAGTGACTTTGGTGGAACTGCTCTAGTGACACAGGGTGCAGTGTATGTCTTTGCAGTGCTCAAGTTTAGGATAGCAAGGCAGGAACTGGAACTGCTTAAGCCTTTGTTTAAACCTTGGTTTTAGCTGAACATCTCTGGCCACTTGGGCTTTACAGGTGGGTTAAAATGAATGCAGGTTGAGTAAATACTGTCAGAAAACTCAAATGAGAGCTGTGCATGGCCACAGAGTGCTCCTGGCCCTGCAGCAAGTGTGAAGGACCTGCCCGAGCCAGGCTGGTGTGGATGTGACCTTGGGAGGTCAGAGGGGCTCACCCTGGGAGCCTGCCGGAAGCTCATTGCAGAGGCAGGGGCTGCCTGACCTTGTGTTCAGCATGAACTCAATGTGGCAGCATTAAGGTGTGAGTCAGCACTGTTTTGATAGTGGTGGTTAATGAAGAGACAATTACCTGGACTGAGGAATGGGGAAACACAGGGTGAAGATGAGCAAACATTTTCTAGGAGCAAAGGCTGTGAAATGCTCTGCCAAAAAGCAGTGGAAAACTCTCAGTGAGGCTCTTCAAGCCAGCCAGAGCGAAGCACAGAGGAGAAGGCTGCAGGGAATTGTGTTGCCCTGAATTAACCTGGGGGTGACCCCAGATTGCTCAGCTACTACTAAATACCAGTGATAATTTTGGTGATAATTACTCCCCTTATTTCTAAATTGAATTGTAATTCATTGTAGTCTTATCTAACGAGTCAAATCACTGGGAAACTAAAGCAGGCACAAAGTGAGCTGCTGACAGGGTTCTTTGAGGCCTTGGTTGTTTGATCAGTGCTTTGACATTAATAGATGCTTTATTGGCTGCCAATCACGTTTTCCATGTTGATGTTTAAGTTGCTCTAACTGAGCTCCTGATTGATGCTGCTGTGAACTGGCCACTGTGTGTTCTCCACTGCCCTTTAACAAATACAACCTGAGAGGCTTTTCTGTGGAGGACTTGTGTTGTGTGAATTAACAAGTGAACACCCACACGGTGATTGTGATTCCCCAGATGTCTTACTAATTACCCAGGCTGTGATTTAATGTTATTTATTATACTTCATTATACTCTATAGCTCAGTTAGTTCAAAATAAAACCCTGAAACGCTGGAATTAGGATCCATCCTTCTGGCACCATGATATTAAATCTTTTCTAAGAGGGATTTTGTTTTAATTATAAGGTATATACTAAAGCTTCATTAATTTCTATTATGGAGCTAATTGCAGGTCTGATTGCCTTTTGTTTTTTTAAGCAACAAGTTCTTGAAATGATGCTCATCCTACTCTGAAGGCCAAATTCTGCAGTAATTGTACAGAGGCAATGGATGAATTGGACTTGACTTTCCGTGGTGGCAGGCCAATTCTGTTGGGGTTGAAAAGGATGTTTTTAAGGGATCCTGACAAATAAGGAATGCAGCTTTCCTTCCCAGTCTGGTGTTGCCTAAACATGGCCACAAACGTGTAGAACTGGGTGAATTTGCTCTTGACCTCTGGGAACCGTGGACCTGGGTGTTAGGGATGGCGTGATCCCAGAAGATCCTGTCTGCTTCCCAACTTGTGCTGTGCCTGGTTTCAGATCTTTGGACTGCTCGCAAAATGGACTAAGCAAAGCACTTGGTTCCAGGGATTCCCAAACTTCGGTGAGTTGCCCCGGAATGCCCTCTCTATGCCAAGTCCTTTTTCAACCACTGCTGTTGTTTCTGAGATTGGTTTTATTTGCAGGCGTAGAGGTAAACCTGCGTTTGTCCACAGCAGTTTTCAACCTGGGGGTTGCTGGTGCCTGTTTGTGTGTGTGGAGGTGTTCAACTCCTGCAGTTCCGTGCTTTGGGCTGCACTTGACTAGAACTCAGTGCTCCTTCGCCTCTTTGGTGTGTTGAGCTGGAAATGCACTTGGTGCAGGTGGTAACTTGGGAGACTTGTTCCAGGGCACATGGCGAGGTTGTGGCAGCGCTGGGTTTGCAGGATGAGCTCATGAGTGTCCCAGTGAAATCTGGATTAACAAGCTCTACCCAGCCTGAGGAGAAAGAAGACGTTTGCACAAACATCTGTGCAGGGAAACTGATGACTTTCACAAGATCCTAAATAGATCGTACTGAATCAATTACCCGAGTCCTGTGTGTGAGCCACAGCTGAGGCTTCGACTGGGACCCAGCGAGCTAAAAAGAAGCCTTCATCCCTTCCGAGCCAGCGGGAGCTGAGCCAAGCTGGGCTCTGCTGGAAGCCTTCCTTTGTAGATCTCGCTGGCTGTCAACGTGAGAGGTGGCGGAGGCTAAAAATGGCTCAGAGCACGGCCGGGTGCATGCAGGGAATAGCAATGAGAGCGGCAAAGCCGCGCTTGGGCTCCCCAGTGAAACCAGAGACGGAGCCTGCAGACGTTATGGAAAGCGTCCAAGAGGGCGGAAAATGTGCATCGAGCAGGTTCTGCGGCCGCGGCGAGGACCTGCCGCGGGAGGAGATGGCAGAGAGGGAAGTGAGGGAGTGGAGGAACGGGGAGAACCAACCCCGAACCCCGGCGACAAGGCGGGGTGCAGTGAGGGGGTGAAGCGCAGGGGGGGCACCCCGGGGGCGATGGGGACCCTGCAGGAAGGTTCCCCCCCCCCGCCCCGGGATGAGCCCCCGGCGCTGCGGCTGCCGCCCAGCCCGAGCGCGTGGACGCTGCCCCGGGGCGCGGGTCCGCCATGACACCCGCCATGACACCCGGCCCTACGGGGGGCGGCGAGGGACCCTCTGCCCCGCCCTCCCCGGAGCACCGCCCCGGGTGACGTCACCCCAGCTCGGCCGGCGCCATTTTGAAAGTGAAGCGTTCGGGGGGGGGCCGGAGCGAGGCGCGGAGCGGGGGCAGCCCCGGAGCGGAGCCGGCCGCACCCCCGCCGCCATCCGCCGCCATCCGCCCCCCGCCGCCGCCCCCCGCTCGGCACCGGCGGCTCCGCCGCGCAGCGCCGAGCCCGCCCGACCCGCCGCGGCCGCTATCGCGAGCCCAACATGGCAGGTAAGGGGAGGCTGCCCCCGCCGTGCACCGGCCCCTGCCGCCGCCGGGCGGGGAGGGGAGGGGGGGGCTCAGGTGAGGCTGCGGCAGCGGCCTGTGGCCGGGAGGCGGGAGATGGGCACCGGGCACCTCCGGCCCGGCCCGCCGGGGCTGTGCCCCCCGCTCCGGAGCGCCTCGCAGCCTGCCCCTGCCTCCGCCGAGCCGCGCCGCCGGCGCCTGTGCTGGCTCCCGGCCCCGCTTCCCCCATTCCGCCTGCGCCTCCCTGGGCTTTATTCCTTGATTTTTTTTCCCCGTTCTGGGAAATGGAGCTTGCCTCCCACCCACCGCTTCCTCCTTTCCTGTTTCAGCGGGGGGGGACAGGCATGGAAGCAGCAAGGTGGAGGGGCTGGGCTGGGGGAAGCGGGTGTGTGGAAGTTGGGGGTTCAGGCGGGGGGGTCTCTGCCTGTTTCAGTTCGCATTGTGCTTGTTCGCTGCATTTATCCTCAGGTGGAGTTAGGAGGGAGCGTGCAGAGGTGCTGCTGGGCACGGCGAGGTGCCGGGGGTGCAGACGTGCCTGTGTCCAGAGCGGGGCTGCACCCTTCCGAGGGAGCAGCTGCTGAGCGCCTGCAAACGAGACTAGAATTGGGCACGGGATGTAATTAAATAACACAGGTCTTGCTGTGTTCTGTCTCATTCCTTCCTGTGCCTGTTCCCCATTTTGCATCCTGGAGTGCTCTGCTCGCGAGGCTGGAAGTGTGTCTGCATAAGGCATCTCTTCCCTCTTACTTCTCCTTGCAATTTCTTCTGTTGGAGATGTATTCATCCCCCTCCTCTGCAAATGAATTGTCTTTTCAGTATTTTGCGCTTGGAGGAGCGAGCAGGGGGAGGCTTGGGTAGGTTTGTGCCTTGCCTTTTCCCCCTACACCATATGCCCATGCTCCACCCTCCTCCTCTTTTTGTTTCGGGAGGGGGGGAAGTGCCAACTTGGTTCAAGTAAATGGGATGAAAAAGACAATTTTGGCCTTGCGTAGAAAGAGCAGTGATTTTCCTTAAAGCTGCCCCCTTCAGATGCTTCTGTGGTGCCAGCTGCTGCCTGACAAATGAAGAGGTTGGAGAGAGGCTTAGAGGAAAATAGCTTGTATGGGATTTGGGGGAGAGGTGTGCGTGGTAAACCTTCCACTGCAGCTGCAAAAGGCAGCTTGACATCTCTCGCGTAGATACTTGCACTCGCCTTCACCTTCTCAGGTGGTGCAGCTTGAATGTCTGTAATCCTTGAGAGAAGAAGCCAAGGGAAGTAAAAAATGCAGATTGGGCTCTGATGTATTCCAGCACTTCCCGACCCCCTTAGACCTGGTCCATGCTGGAAAGATTATTTGGGGCCTTCCAATTTCCTTGTTTTTTGACTTTTTCGCCCCCCTTAACTTAGTGTGAAAGAGGGAGGAAGCCCCTTCTGTTTTCTTTGTGATCCCCAAAGCCATACAGAGCTCTGGATTAATGTGTAGGTGCCATCTGTTGCTCAGCCTGGTTGAATTGTGTGGAGGAAAAGTTCCATTTTGACAGTGGCTTTAGGGGGGAAAAAAAAGCAAAGCAGAGAGCGGCAAAGCCCATTTCAGTCCCTTCCTGTACGGCCTCAGCCCGGCAGTGATTTGCTCAGAATGAAATGCAAAAGAACTGGGTGGTGATTTTGGTGTGTGTTTTGGTGGCAGGGTTCAAATGAATCACTGCCTTCCGCCCAGGCAGTAATGTTCCTCAAGTTTTCTCTTCGCTCCGTGTTCTATGGTAGTAGAACTTGTTCACATCTGGTTGCTTTGCTTTGCTGCTCGGATTTGCTGCTTTTTGTTTGCAGGCTGGTAGTTGCTTTCGTTACTTCTTGGAAGACACTCTAAAAGCGTGGTAAAATCTGTTTCTTTAGCCTTTAGTATGGAGGTCGAGTTCGGTGCTTTCGGAGAAGAAGGATTCGAATGGATGCTTGGTTTCTAGCGGAGGGAAGGTTGGAATGTGCCAAAACGCACAGCTTTTCGGTAGAGTTTTGACTTCTGAAGTAAGGAAGAAGCTGGTGGGAAGCAGGATTTTCCTGCACGCTCATTTTAAATGCGCAGTTAAAGTTGGCACTGGCAACGCTACCGAGTCCAGCGAGCTTTTGGCGACGGAGGAGGCTCTTCTCGCTGCTGCTGCTGCTTACAGGGGCTTTGCTAAAGCCGTGCTGGACGCGGGCAAAGGGCTCCTGACAAAAACAGTATCTGTAAAGGAAAAGGTGGGGAGGGGCAGCTGGGGATTGTGCTGCTGCGGAAGTAGGCGGCGTGCACAGCGCTGCCTCGAACTGTCAGCCTGGAACTGCTGAGAGCTCTTTGTGCTGCTGGGGGGTCTCATGTCTGTGATTGTGTTTTTTAGGAGCTGGAGGAGGCAATGACATTCAGTGGTGTTTTTCTCAGGTGAAAGGCGCTGTAGATGATGATGTAGCAGAAGGTAAGAGCAATATTTCTTTTACTGCTTATTCTTGATTTTTTTTTTTCTACCGCTCAGGGAGGCAGATGCGAATGCAACCTTCCTGAAATACCTTGGTGTTCCTGCATGCAGTCGAGCAAAGCAGAGAGACATTTAATGTGCATTGAGATACCTCGATTCAGGATCAAACAGCACACTTCTTACAAGGGCTGAATTCAGGCTCCTTTTGCTGGAGTTGTTCTCCAAGGTTAAGCTTTTCCTGTCACTCAGCTTTTGAGCTGTGCTTTTTCCTAATCTGCAGAATGGGGAATGTGGTACTTGCGTTCCACAGGGAGGTGTTGGGAGAATTAATTAATGCTTGTGCTCTTTGAAGATCTAACTGCTAGATAAAGATCAAGTAATTTTCCCAATCTTCCCAGCTTCTGTTAGCCAGGAGAAGAAGAAAGCTGCATATTTGTGTGTGCTTATTGTACATTGTGTGTTTGAAATAATACTTGGAATTGCCTAAAACTTTTCCAAGCTGGCAGTGACAAATGCCACCTTACACTAAAATGGCTGCCTCTGATCGTGACAGCAAGAACTGTGCTTGTTTTCTTTTCCTTGGACTGGGGATCATGAGGGGGATTGTACCATCTCTGTGCTGCTCCAGCACTGTGCTGAAGAACATTTCCTCTGTGATCCTTTTTGAGGGAAGAGGATCATTTCCTTGCCATGAAGTCCTGTTTGCAGCACACAGCCCATGGATCATAAGTTAGATTTGTTCTTTTGCAAGCAATTGGCCTTGGCACTTACAGAATTTCCATAAAAAAGTGGGTTTTATGTATTTTAGATGCTCTGAGTTACAAGTGAGATTAATGCTGTATTTAGAAAAGCAGTAACTCCGGTTTCCATTATTTCTCCATTAGACATGTGCTCAAATTAAACTTCCAAAGGCCAGAACAATCCGTATAAACACAAGTGACTTGGTTTTATTTAGTAGCTGCAGCATGTGGCAAATGATGCACTTTCACAGACTCCTGTCGTATATAAGCTGCCTTTTGGAAACAGGAAAGCTGTAGCAATTCTTTAAGTTGAATTTTCAGTTCTTCAGGAAGTCTCTTTTAAAGCTTGAGCTCAAAACTACTCTGAAGTGCAGTATAATTTTTATATCCATGGCAGACTTTAACTTCTGTGACCTTTCATTGCGTACCAAACCAAATCCCTAATTAGAACAAATACTGAGGAAGTCGTGGTCATCTGGCTGGTGCGTGCAAATAATTCTTCATTAAAATAGACACACTGACAAGTATGTAATAGCTATGAGCTTCTCTATGGAGTAAAAGTAGCTTTTACAGGGATCTGGAAATGCAGGAGTCAGGAAATACTCAGTCCTTAACTTCCTTAGTATTGTGCTTGGTGCGGCAGGAGGTGACTTGCCAGCCTCATGCTTCCTGACAGGTTAGCACTGTCCCGTGCAGTGCTGGAGTTCAGGGGAGCTTTCACTGCCAGTGAGCTGACCAGCCTCTGTTCAGGCAGTCAGGATGCTTCCAGAATTCTTAAGAATGTCCAATTTTGGTTTTATGGAGGAAGCACCTTCTGATTTTTGTGGCCCAGCGAGCAAAGAGGAGTTTAATTCCATTGTCAGCTATAGCAGACTTGGGATGAGTCTTAACATGTGAAACCTTTGATGTAATGCAACGCACGGTGAAATTTTGGTGCCTGGATCCTGGAGAGAGGTCCCGAGGCTGGTGTTACACGTGGTTGTAATGAATTTGTTGAGCTGCAATTCTCTTCCTGTGTATTCGGCTCTCACAATCCATGCTGGAAACGGTTGAAAGCCAACTGTCTAATCAGAGTGCAAGTGCAGCTTCCATGCAATCCTTTGAGTTCTTGTTATGCTTTGTAGTGCCTCCCTGTGATACTCTTGGACAGGTTAATAGTATATCAAGCTGGTTGCATTTTTCCTTTTTATTAGCTGTATTTCTAGCTTCAAGCTTCACTTGAATGAAACAGCCTTGTGTGATTCCTGCAAAAACTGGAGCAGCAGCTCTGCATGCTTCTGGTCCTCCTTCAGAACACCTGAGGATGAGTGGAGGTGGCTCTCAGTGTAGGCTGAGGACCTTTTTGCCTCCCTGCCCTTGTGTCTTCTTTCTTGTGGCAGGCACCATGGTGAAAGCTAAAGAAAATCTGGCTGTCTGAAACTTTAATTAACCGCTGTGGTCTGCAGCTAATGAGTACAGACCCGCATCACGTCTGAGACTGAGGACAGTGCCACGTGTGTGCTGTAGCACCCAGGCTGTGGATCATTGGGGTTTTTAATGGCATTAGAGCTCAAACTTAAAGTAACTTTTGTTGTGGAAAGCTGAAACTTCACTAGTAACAAAGGGAACAAAACAAACCTGAAAGAAACGGGAGGTTTTGTCTTCTGTTTTCTTCCTGCTCTTAATGTGGTGTTGATGCTGGAAAGCTGGCCTCAACTAACCTAATAAAGTGTTAACCAAGAAAACTATCTGTTTCATTGTATTACTCCATAGAATGCAAACCCAGTGGCCTCTCCAATTGCCTATAAACCAGACCAATGGAGGGTAGTGTTTTTAATACAGTGATAGTGGCAGCAACACTAAAAAGCCTGCTACAAACATCAGTACACAGCTCCCAGAGCACCTGAGGTCAGATGGGATGGTGGAACCTGCACATATGTGTAACCTGTAGTTCTTTAGATCCTTAGGCTAGAATGATTGTCTATTGCAAAGTCAATACTTGGTGGCTTTGATGGCTGAAACATGAACTCTGATATATACGGTTCTTAATTTTCTGGCTTTGTAAGTACTCTGTAATAGATGTGATGCTTTCTGTTAGATCTAGTGAGGGTGAAAGCAAAAGAAGGGGGAAAGCTGTAACTAAAGCTTGAGGAAAGGTGATGGCAGAGGGTTTGTACTGGGGACCTGCCTGTGTGGTTCTGCTGTGGCAAAGCTCCTCTAACTTGAGGGATATGGATGTGTGAGGGGCAGAGAACTAGCCTCTCTTCTCCTGGTATGTATGGAATTTATCCTTGGTTGTAAACTGTGGCCTGGCCCTATTGGATCACAAAGTTAAGTATGGAAATGCTGTTAGGGTTAGCTTAGGGTCCTTCATTTGAACTGATGGCCAAAGTTTGCCTTTTTGTGATTTAATGGCCCAGTGCATAAGGGAAAGGGTATTTTTCTCCCTTAATTTTATATTTACCTTGCTGGAGCCTATTCCTACAATGTAATTGTTGGTTTGGGACTTGTTTTTTCCTCTTCTGCTCTTGTGTTCTCCAAGATGTGGCAAAATGGCAGCTCCAGTTAGAAACAGCTAAGACTTGTGAGTTTAAACTGTCTCTGAAAACTAGACACTTGCTTAGTGGAATGAGGTTGTACTTCAGAACAAATAAAGTCAAATTTGTTTAATTACTTGGCAAAAGGAAAAGAGTCAAGCTTCTGTCTAAACGTTCTTTCAAGTATAATCCAAAGATATGTAAAAGTCTGATAGTCTGGGTCTGAGGAGGGGTGCCAGGAACTTGAGTCCTAAGCTTTAACCCTGAGTTTGACAAGTTGTTTAACCATTTCATGCCCAAATGGTCTCTGAATTGATAACCTATGAGTTGTTTCATACTCAGAACATTGCTGTAGTCTGGTTCTTTTTGTGTGCATGATGAAGAGATGAAGTCTTGTTTTTTTTCCCAGCCCCCTCTTTTGTGTGTGGTCAGAAACACAAACAAGATCTGACTTCTCCCTCACTCAGGAATGCTTTCTCTATTTGATTCTGGGTATGTTATATCTTCTGAGTGTAGTTTTGTGTTTATTTTTGGCAGACTCCAAAGCTGCAGAGCAGCTATGGGAACTGTTGTTGCTTCAGTGATGAGAGTTTGTCTTCAGTGCACAAAAATAGTTATCTCAGAGTAAGGAAAACTGAAGCCAGGAATGGAGACTGCTGTAAAAAGCAGCTTACCACGATCTGGAGATCGCCATCTCTTGCCTTACCAGAAAGCTTTCTCTTTGTCAAGTAACACGTATCTGTAGTAGGGGATTTGAGCTGCTGAGTCTGCTTCAGAAGGCTGCTTAGCTCTGTCCTACCAGTCTGTTGTTCTAGAGGCACATCTGGTTCTGTAGGCTTACAGCAACTGACGAGTAGGGGCCTGTGCCTTGTAGTTGGAGGGATGTTACTGGCATCATTTGGGAAGAAGGGCTTCTACCAAGCTGTGTTTGTGGGCAAGAGTCACAGAAGAGAAATGGTGGTGGTATGGAAGTCACTGATGGGTGGTTTTTTAATGGGAATTGATGGAGTAGGAGGGCAGCAAAAATTAACAGAGAAATGTAGCAAAGGTGTGAGAGGTTGCAGTCATAATGCTGAAGAAAGACTGAGGTATAGTTGTGGGAGGGAGCTTAATTTGGGGTTTGGAAGGCTGTGGTTATGTTCTCATAAGGTAACATCAGTTAGAAGGAGCAAGGACTAGTAATGGGTTTGGTTATAAGGAGTAGTTTAAAATATGCTGTAGGTAAGTAAAAAGCCAGAAGGTTGTGGCCCTATTCTGTATTCCTAAGTCTGCTTCTGTATTTCAGCTCTTCTGTCTTCAGCTGTTTGCAGAATGACTGACTGTGTCGAGAGAGAGAGAGAAATAGGCTGCTGTGTTGCAGGAACTGCTGCTGTGGATTGACTAAAGTGTTCAGCTAAAGTGCAGAGTCCCTCACAACAAAGAGCATTTAGCAAACAGCTAAATAGTAAGTGGCTGTTGAGCTCCCTGAAGTTATTCAGTGCTCACTCTTGACATGGGTTTGCTAGCTGGGGCACTTCAGCTTGTCAGTCATGCTGACCAGTGTTGTTCTCTTACTTCTCTAATGCTTTGCTGTTCTTGGAATCTTCCTGGCTTAAATTAAAAATGAGTTGGAAAAAGGAGTGAGTGTTCTGTGTTGTCAATACGGTGGCTCCAGTGATCAAACCATCAGACTCCAGCAGTACAAAGGAGTGCAGCTTGGCCCGCAGTGCCTGTGCTGGTGATCACAGCTCTCTGTCAGCATTGT